CTTGTTGCTCCCAAGGGATGGCTCCAAGTTCGTGCTGAATAGGATAGAATAGGTCAGCCCAGTGCTTGGACGCTAGAGACACTCACTGGGAAGCCATCTCGCTCATCCTGCCTTCAAGGAGAACTCTAGGATAATTACTCTTAAGGGCCACTCTGTCCCCTCAGGGCATAGCTATAGGAGTACATCAACAGATCTCACCAATGGTCTGACTTCATTCGGCCTGAAGAGGACCCACAGGAGTCCTGTTCAGGACTTTATAACCTGGTGAATGAGTCACAATTTTCTCTATGCTATAACACACCCTGCTTCCATGAAGCCAGAGTTCTCATCTGGAGGCTCCATTCAGGACAGATCCATCTGTCTTTTCTGCTCTAAGGCTGGGAAACCTGAGTCTCTTCTTTCCAAACCACCCTAGTCCTGTCTCCTTTTCATCAGGGACAGGGGGCTAAAAACCTGATCTCTAGGCTCATGACTGACTAGCACTTCCCCCAGTGTGCCTGCCCCCCAGAAGGAATGCTAACAGTGTGCAAACAGCTGCTGCAAGCTTCTCATTCATGAGAGAGAAGGGAAGGCCACGGGACCAGTAGCCTTTTTGGCAGCATCTGAGCTGATTGCCCAGTAGGAGCAGCAGATACTGGAGAAGAGACTCTATGATAGACACAGCAAGGGATAGATAGCCAGCAATTGCACTGCATGCATTATCTCTTTTGACTCTCGCTAAACTTCCAAGAGGTAAGTGAAGGGAATATGCTATGCACAGGCCTGTACTATGATTAACGGGGCTTCTTTGAAAACTAAGAATGACTTTCTCATTACCCCCAGGCAAAGGGCTGGGAGCAATAAAAAGTACATCGTGGAAAGACATCTTGAAAACAAGATGTTGAAGTACTGATGTGACTGATGGAAAACCATTAGTGACTGTTCTCATGACCAGAGCCTTGAGGAAGTTGCTGAGAAAGGTCTTCACTAGCTGAAGAGCTAAACAGAGTCATGAAAGGCCTGAAAGTTTGACATTGAGGATTGTGCATTGTATATCTTTATCCCCAGTTTGAGATTGTAAAGAACATATATCTCTAGAGCACGAATAAGGAAGTAGAAGTTAACAATAAAAGGCATGCGAGGATTAGGATCTGGGCTTTTGCCTGCGAATGGCATGTAGCCCCCTGATCCCCACTTTATTTCTGAGTCTTCTTTTTCTTTATTCTTCTGTGGCACCGCTCCCTCGCGTCAGTTCGTTGTTGGACTGGTCCCGACAGTAAGTAGAATTATTGTCATTTTATCACATGGAAAAATGGTGAACTGAATTGCCTGGAATCCTGAGGGCTCAGACAATAAAGAATCTAAACTTCCTTTCCAGACTGATTTTCCCACTGTACGCTGTGCCCCTATTAAAGATACATAATCTGGAACTTCCCTGGCGGTCCAGAGGTTAAGAATCAACCTTCCAATGCAGGGGTTCGATCTCTGGTTGGGGAACTAAGATACCACATGCCATTGGGCGACTAAGTCTGTGCACTCTAGAGCCCACGCACTGCAACGATCACCCAAAACAGTCAAAAAAGAGATACATAATCTATTTCTGCCTAATGTATTTTTCCATTGTATGAATTCTTTGTCCTTGAGTTTTCTCCATGAAATTAAACTTGGACTTCATCTGTTAGGTGATAGGTGGACAGTGAGTGATTTAAAGAGACAGACAAAATCACAAGCAGGTTAAAATATACTTTTGGATCCAGTAGGTAGACATCTCTATAAAGAAGCCTGTCTGAAAAAAGAACAACATAGGTTTAAAATGGGATAGCAGATAGACAGAGTTGTAAGACTGAGGAATATTTGTTGAATGACGAAAGAGGATATGATATTTACCAGTCAATGGGAAAGAGCTGGTATAAAGGCAGAAACTGGAGAAAGAAAAGACCACAGCTGAAAGAATGGTGGAGTTATATAGCTAAGGAAGCCGAAGAGAAGAAAGGTGTGAACATACGGATGCATTCACACTTTTCTTCTAAGTTTCTGAAGAGAAAGAACAGAATGGAAGCACGTGTATGGAAATGATGTTCTAGGGCAAATATCGAGGGAATATTTCCTTAAGGGTTTAAGTTTCTCAGTGAAGAGGGATGTGACACCTATGTTTTATTGTTGTTGTTTTTTAGTCACTCAGTCATGTCCAACACCTTTGCGACTCTAAGGACTATAGCCCACCAGGCTCCTCTGTCCATGGGATTTCTCAGGGAAGAATATTGGAGTGGGTTGCCATTTCCTACTCCAGGGGATCCTCCTGACCCAGAGATCGAACCCGCATCTCTGCATCTCCTGCACTGGCAGGCGGATTCTTTACCACTGAGCTGCCTGGGAAGCCTGACACCTGTGTTCCCGGGAGAGTACTGATGTAGGGAGCAAGGTGGGTTTGAGGAGAAGGGCAAAAGTTTGGGTAGACTGCCATTATGGATTTTATGATATGGATTTACATCGCACACATAGGCTGAAACCTGTTCGTTCATCTAGAAACTCTTGGATTTTCTTGGGAAGCAATCGCATTTTCAATGAATTCTATCCATTTTGTTTTTTCCTTTCCAAGTCTTATATGGCAATTTTTTTTACCCTAGTGCTCTTTTCATCAACAGGACAATGCTTAAGTGCTTTACACAGAGACTCAAATCAAAGTTCCTGCATCATGCAGGTCTGTGACCACATCTTGTATAAGGATCATTAACACCCCAGATCCCAGCCTTCAGACCTAACTCCTGGTTGAAACCTCAAGGGTTCATTGCAGCACCAGCTTTGCTTGCAACTCTTGTTCTGTTTCTCAAGGCTACATGTTCCCATTTCTTTCTTTCAGGTTTGGGTATGCATTCTTAATTACTTATTGCGCATGTGTGCTCTGTCGTTTTGCAACTCTACGGACTATAGCCCACCAGGCTCTTCTGTCCATGAGACTTCCCAGGCAAGAACACTGGAGTGGGTTGCCCTCCTCCTGGGGATCTTCCTGACCCAGGGATCGAAACTGAATCTCCTTCATCTCCTGCATTACAGGTAGATTCTTTACCACTTAGCCATCAAGAAACCCCAGGGCCCACCTCAAACATCACCAATTACTTATTAAACTTATTTATAATTTCTATGTGTTTTCATTGGAATGGAACCTGCTGACATTGGCTAAGTCTGCCATGTGGCCAAGAGCCTCAACTCGAAGCATTACCCTTCTTTGCTATATGAGCTAACCATAGTCTCTGAACCTTCCAGTTTTACTAACCCTCTCAACTGCGAGATATTATGATTTCACGTGAATATAGGGAAAGGCATTCAAGAGAGAAAATCAAATTCACTTAGGTGCAGAGATGAAAAAGTACATCATATTCGGGGGAAAGATAATTTTATCTGCATTCCCTGTGCCTATGTGTGTACTATAAACCTGATATGTACTATAAGAGACATTCAGAATAGGTGCATAAATTTATTACAGATTGAAGCAATCATTGATTATAAGTCTTTTTATAAAATTTAGTGAATTACTTGGGATATTCCAGACTACGGTAACAAATACATGACAAATGCAATGGTTTTAACAGTATGAAGCTTTTTTCCTTATGTAACAGTCCCATTGGGTGTCCTTGGTGGATGATGGTTCTCCAAGGGACACAGGCTAATTCCATCATGTGACTCCATCATCCCGTTCAGCCTCTTGGACATTTCCAGCCAGCCAGCACAAGGAGAAAGAGTGTGGAGGAAGCCTGATTTCGTAATCTCTCTCTAAATTTTCTTAACTTTGCTTTTTTGAACTAATTCTTTAAAAAATATTTTTCTGTATTTTCCTTTTTCAGGAAACAACTTTTTTATGTTGTAGTATAGTTGATTCTGGGCTTCCTTGGTGGCTCAGCTGGTAAAGAATCCTCCTGCAAAGCAGGAGACCTGGATTCAATCCCTGAGTTGGGAAGATCCCCTGGAGAAGGGAACAGGTACCCACTCCAGTAATCTGGCCTGGGGAACTCCATGGACTATTCCATGGGGTCACAAAGAGTCGGACATGACTGAGTGACTTTCACTTTCATAGGTGACTGACAATGTTGTGTTAGTTTCAGATGTACAGCAAAGTGATTCAGTTATACATATACATATTTATCTATTCTTTTTCAAATTCTTTTCCCATTTAGGTTGTTACATAACATTGCAGAGTTCCCTGTGCTATACAGTAAGTCCTTGTTGGTTATCCATTTTAAATACAGCAGTGCATACATGTCTTATAGATATCCAACTGTCCCAGCACTCTTTACCAAATGTACAGTCTATCCTTTCCCTGCCTAGTACTAAACCAACTGTGTTTAGTATCAATTTCTAACAAGTGTTGGATCCATTTCTAACTCTCTAACATATTACATAGATCTGTTTTTCTATTTCTATGCCAATTCCACTCCACTGTCTGAATTACCAGAGTAAATCATCTTGATAACTGACAGGTCAGTTTCTTTCTCCTTATTCTCATGCCTCAAACTCTCTTAGTTCTCTTGGGTCTTTATTCTCAGACTACATTTTTGGATCAGTTTAGTAAATATCTTTTAAAGTAACCTATGGTATTTTGATTGGGATTGTGGCGAACTCATAAATTAATTGGAGGTAAACTGACATTTCAGTTATACAACATTGAAACTTCTGTTAATATTTATCTCCCTGTTTTTTTTATTATTTGTTTCTTGTTGTTTGGTAAAGTTTTGTAGCTTTTCCCAGCCAGTCTGGACCTCTTCTTTTTTAAAGAATTATTTCTCTATTTCTTAAAACTTCTCTTGCTATCATGAATGGGAATAATTTTTAAAAATTATAATTTTCAATGTATAAGACAAGTGGCCCAGGTAAGTGCTGCTAAGGGGAACAGACCAGAGGTCCCTGGGTCAGGAAGATCCCCTGGAGAAGGAAATGGCAACCCACTCCAGTATTCTTGCCTGGAGAGTTCCATGGATGGAGGAGCCTAGCAGGCTACAGTCCATGGGATTGCAAAGAATGGGACATGACTGAATGACTAACAACAGAAGCATAAGACAATATAATATTGATATTTTAATATTGCCTAAATCTTTTAGTATATCTAGAGTTTCTCTTGAATTTTCCTTGAAAACAACTCTGAATTCTATCTACTTTGTTCTTTCTATCCATTTCTACTAAGTAGTAGTTGAAAGTCACCATGAAATTGGATGAGTCACCAAAGGAGATAATAATAATAATAAAAAGATAAGTAAGGTCAAAGAGAAAAACATTATGATCACATATATTTAAGAGTTTGGAATATAGAAGAAACATATCAAATGTGAATGCTTACCTTAAAAATGAGATGCCCAAGAAGTAAATTCACTGATCTCACTTTGCTATGACCTAACCCAGATGGTCTTTATGATCTGCAATTTTCTGATGCCAATGTAGGCAGTTGTGATGTTCTGGACTCTGGGGCTCATTCTCAGTTTAGTCAGTGGAACACTTTCCAATCGTTTAGGGTTCTTCTTGTACTAGCCATTCTTTGCACTGGAATGCTTTCTCAAAGACTCCAAAATATTGTCCTTTGCTTTTCACATGTGATAAGATTAGCGTACGATTCTGGCTTCTCCATTAAGTTCTAAGGTCCTTGAAGCAATCTTTGCCATATATGAATAAAAATGGGTAAGTTGCGCTTTTCCCATATTTATGCTTTTGCCTCAAGAACTAACAAAGCTTCTAGCACATCAAATATGAGCTTAATTGCCTGTTAAATAGTTAAACCCTAGGTGTTTGGGTATGGTGCTGGGACTGGAGAGGATGGGCACTTCATAAATGACTTACTTCTTAGAATGAGTGTCAAGGGCTCATTGTCAGCTACCCCCACGGATCAACAGGGATGTTTTACCTGCAATGTACTGCCTATCTCTGGATTTGGTAAACCCAGGTATTGACACAACAACTACAAGAGTCAAAAGTAGTGGCTTAAAAAGAACATTATACACAGCATTTCACTATTAATTCTGGATTCCTCTCCCCTTTCCTGCTGAAGGATCCATGAGAGAAGACAACCAATCCTCTACCTTCAATTTCATCCTCCTGGGAGTTAGCAGTCAGCAGGAAGAAGAAGATGTCTTCTTCATCCTCTTTCTGTTCATTTATCCCATCACATTGATTGGAAACCTGCTCATCATCTTGGCCATTCGCTTTGATGCTCGCCTCCACAACCCCATGTACTTTCTCCTTGCCAACCTCTCCTTCGTTGACATTTTCTTCTCCTCTGTAACCATCCCTAAGGTGCTGGCCAACCACCTCCTGGGCAACAAAGCCATCTCCTTTGGAGGATGCCTAACACAGATGTGTTTCATGTTAGCTCTGGGTAACACAGATAGTTACATCCTGGCTGCTATGGCCTATGATCGAGCTGTGGCCATCACCCGTCCACTTCATTACACAACAATTATGAGCCCACGGACCTGTGTCCTGCTAGTCACTGGGTCTTGGGTGGTTGGAAATGCCAATGCCTTCCCGCACACTCTGCTCACAGCTAGCCTGTCCTTCTGTGGAAACCAGGAAGTGGCCAACTTCTACTGTGACATTGCCTCTTTGCTCAAGTTGTCCTGTTCTGACATCCACTTTAATGTGAAGATGATGTACCTGGGGGCTGCTGTTTTCTCTGTGCCATTACTATGCATCATCATCTCCTATGTTCGGGTCTTTTCCACAGTCTTACGTGTTCCCTCTACTAAAGGTGTGCTCAAAGCCTTCTCCACCTGTGGTTCCCACCTCACAGTTGTTTCTCTGTATTATGGGACAGTCATGGGCATGTATTTCCGCCCTCTGACTAGTTACAGCCTAAAGGACGCTGTGATAACTGTGATGTACATTGCAGTGACCCCAATGTTAAACCCTTTCATCTATAGTCTGAGGAATCAGGACATGAAGGCTGCCCTGGGGAAACTATTCAGCAGGAGAATCTTCTCATAACCAATGTGAGATAATGTTAGAGACTGCACCAAACCAATTAAAATATACTTGAAAAGTCAGCCTTAATATTCTCCCCCTTCAAGTCACCTTATTCTATACAGACATTAAATTTCTTTTCTCAGAAATCTGGTAACAGTTTGATGAGACATGCTATTATCCATTTATACATGTAATTGCTCCTTTTGGCAGAGTGGCAGGAAAGTTATTAGATCCTGTTCCAAGGAGGCTACTGACTAGCAGAGTAAAGTTGAGAATGTCTGTTGTTGTTGTTTTATTTATTTTTTTTTCCATTTATTTTTATTAGTTGGAGGCTAATTACTTTACAACATTGCAGTGGTTTTTGTCATACATTGAAATGAATTAGCCATGGATTTACATGTATNTTTTAAATGTGCATCCATGTCAGAAAGTCTCTGATTGCAAGTTTTGAGAAGTTCAGAGCCTGTCTACAAGTCCAATTATGTTTCTGATGGTGCAGAGCATGGGCAAAGAACACTTCTGAACGATCTCAGAGTTGGACTGTGCTCTACAGACAGCCACTGCTCTAAAGCCATCAACTGGTTTAGAGATAAAAGAACTGGAGTCCAGAGACGTCGAAAGAGGTGACCAAGGCTGTGCAACAGAGCCCAATGACAAAGGGATCACAACCCAGAGGCGACTCTCATACACCCTATATTGAAGGCATGATGCTCTGGCCGTGAGATGACAACTGAAGCCTCTGTTCTAAGGCTTTTGCTGGCTTCCACAGAGGCTATACGGTACCTCTGTTGGCCACGTCAAGCAAAATGTTAAGTACAGCAAGTCACTGAGAATACATCTAGTTCCCAAGCTATCAGATAGGCGGGCAGACTGCTGACAAGGAGGCAGCCTGCAAAGTGTGATTACAGACAGATGGTACCAAGAAGCTGGAAAATCTAGAAATGCATCAAATAAGACAGCACTGAGAACAATCAGGATCCCGGAGTGAACTGGTGACCTATGTAACAGTGCAACAAGAAGTCGGGGCAGGAGGGACCAGTGGCCTCGACTGTGAAGTGGACAGGAACGAAATTGAGGTTCTGGATCCTTCATCTCCCATAAACTGCTACTAACCACTATTACCACTGACCGCCACCCCAGCAATGAGGCCCTCAGGACTGCAGGTGGAAGGCCCGGAGGTCACCCTGTCCTCCCCCACTTCCAGCCCAGGCTTAAATCATCTGGCAACAATCCCGACCAGGAGCAGTGCAGCTTCTCATCAGCTGTGAGGGAATGCACTCGCATCCCAAGAAGCCTATTCCGTCTCTGGCCAGGAACATCCTCCTGGCACTTGGCAGGCACCCCACCTCTCCATTCATCCTGCAGGGACGCTTCTGACTGCAGCGACTTTTTTGGCAACCACATCATACTGTTGACATTGCTTCCACTTGATGTCACTAAAGACCCTAAAATTGTTTTCAACTCCTGCCATCAAGCCAGGTCTCCCCTTATACTTGTCCTACTAGTTTTGAGATGAGAGAGCCAACAATCTTAGAGAAATACGTCATTTCTCTGGAATGGAACTTCTCAGAAATGAGACCTACTCCACGGTCAAAGGCATCAACTCCTTACCCGAGCTATGCCCACTGCACCACCGGGCAGGCAACCCTGCCCTTTCCATCGGCTTCCACATCCCCTCCTGTAGTCTCTTCCTGTATCCCAGACAAACCAAGCCAGCGCCCACGATCGGGCTTAAGTTTCCCTTGTTCCCTCTGTCTGTGCTCTGCTTACCCACTCAGTCCTGTCCGACTCCTTGCAGCCCCGTGGACTGTACCCCACCAGGCTCCTCTGCCCATGGGGCTCTCCAGGCAAGAATACTGGAGTGAGTTGCCATGTCCTCCTCCAGGGGATCTTCCTGACCCAATGTGTCTCCTGAATTGCAGGCACATTCTTTACCACTGAGTCACCTGGGAAGCCCCTAGAAAATGATGCTTTTATTGAAAATAATCCACAAGAGAATAATTTTAAGAAAACCAGGTCTATTGGGGGCAGACTTGAAAGCTTCCTGAGGAACACACTCAGGGAAATGTTCGATAAATCATACAGTGAAGATATGAAGCTTTGCAGCCAAATTAACAGAGCATGAATCAGAGTGGCACTGATAAGTAGAGTTCGGGAATAGATAAAATTATCTAAGAGCCTCTGTAGAATGACTAAATTTTGAGAAAAGGGGGGCACAATGGAGAATGAGGATTCTGGTCGGGGGGAAAAGAAACTTGTACAAGTTTGACTTGATGTTTCTATGAGTCAAGCTATGTGCCCTCGATTTTATATTCATCAAAGCACACCACACAGTGTATTTTTATTGTGTTGCCATAAAAACGTCGAGTGGGCATGCAAATGCTTGTTTTGGAAAAAAGATGAAACAATAGCCAAACAAGGAAAACAGTGATGAGTGCTACAAAAGAAGTTCCAAATGTGCCATATAGTTTCAGAAAAAGTAGATATTTCTTTAAAGATAAAATATATTGGGTGGGCAAAAAAAACTCCGCTGACACACATATATTATTGATACTATGCATAAAATAGGTAACTAATGAGAAGATACTGTATAGCACAGGGGACTCTACTTAACACACTGAGGTGACCTGCATGAGAAGAAAGTCCAAAAGGAAGGGGATATATGTATATGTATGGTGATTCATTCTGCTGTAAATGGAAACTAACACAATACTGTAAACAATGGTACTCCAAGAAAAATTAATTTTTAAGAGTTCTTGATTAAGATCTTATAGAAAAACCTGAATGAAATTTTCGGCCAACCCAATACATGTGTGTGTGTGATTCTCTTACTATATCACATACATTATTGTCTCTTTCAATTTTCAAAAAGCCCTGCAGCACAAAATTGTAGCCCTCTTATACAGACAAGAACACCAAACCTTCGAAACGTGAAATGACTTCATTGATGTGTTTCAAGAGGATGGTGGCTCAGTGGTAAAGAATCTGCCTGCAATGCAGGAGACCGAGGTTCCATACCCGGGTCAGGAAGATTCCCTGGGGGAGAAAATGACAACCCACTGCTGTATTCTTGCCTGAGAAATCCCACGGACAGAGAAGCCTGGTGGGCTACAGTCTACAGACTCTCAAAGAGTCAGGCACAACTTAGCAACCGAACAGCAAACAACAGGCAGGTGGGGATTAAAATTCAGTTTTCCTCATGACCAGTACATTCCCCTGGCTAAGCTGACCCACAGAGAAGACATAAAATAATAAGGATAGATATATAGGCAAGTCAGAATGTGTGCGCTGGCAGAAGACTTGGCTAGAAATTTTACAATTAGATAGGGCACTCCGGAGATAGCACTAGTTGAATGATAGGACAGAAATGGGAAATATGGGCTCACATAGAAGTTACCAGCTTTAAAGCAGTGAAGTGATTCTTCTAGTCTCAGTGACTATCCTTACACCATCGCTCAGTCCATCTAAATATATCTGGTGTCACTGAAGAGGATGCCAAGGAAATCCACAAGGACAGAACGCTAGTAACATAAACCACAGCTGTCACACGCATTTATATCTCTGGCTTCCCAGGAAGTCATGTAAATTGTTCAGGGATGTGACACTGGGCCATGGACTGGGGTAAAAAAATAAAAGCAGAAGTGTTTCTTTTCTAAAATCACGCTTTCCTTAAAGAGAAGGGGACCAAGATGGTATCACTCACAGACACACCAAATCTATACCTATTAATACAAACAGAGCAATGCCTTCCGAAGAGATGAGGGCTGATTGAGCGGCTTTTGCACACAGAGGGACCACCCAGCAATGGGTAGGAAAGGGACTTCCCTGGCAGTCCAGTAGTTAGGACTTCGCCTTCCAAAGCAGGCAGTTCGGGTTCCACCCCTGCTCAGGGAGCTAAATCCCACATGGCCCACAACCAAAACAAAAAAAAAAAAAAAACAGAAGCAATACTACAGTAAATTCAATAGAGACTTTTTAAATGGTCCATTTCAAAAAAACTCTTAAAAAATAAAGAAATGGGGAGCTTCCCTGGTGGTCCAGTGGTTAAGAATCCGCCTGCCAATGCAGGGGACAAGGGCTCGATCTCTGGCCTGGGAAGATTCCACATGTCCTGGGACAACTGAACCCATGTGTCACAACCACTGAGCACGCGCTCTAGAGTCTGAGAGCCACAACTACTGAAGCCCACGCGCCCTAGAGCCTGAGCTCTGCAACGAGAGAAGCCACATGAGAAGCCCGCAGACTGCAGCAAAGAGTAACCCCTGCGTGCCGCAACTAGTGAGAGCCCGTGAGCAGCAATAGAGTCAGCACAGCCAAAAACAAAATACATGGATCTTTTAGAAATAAAGAAATGGGTAGGGAAGATGGAGACATGGTACCCGCAAGAACCCCAACCCCTATGCAACACCTACAGGAGGGACGGATGTTACTGAGGAGCCTGAGCACAGACTCACCTGTCCCAGGACACAGTGAAAAAGCAGCAGTTTAAAGCGTGTCTAGATTACCTTGGGGGCTCAGTTGGTAAAGAATCCACCTGCAATGCAGGTGACCCAGGTTTGATCCCTGGGTGGGGAAGATCCCCTAAAATAAGGAGGAAANACGGCACTCCTTTCACCCCCACATTCAATGGTGCACGCTAAGAAGCTCCTCCAGGAAGTTGTGTTATTTCATTATCAAAGCACTGGTGCACCAACCTATTGGGGAGTCGCAGAGCACTCAGAGGATGCCTTTTGGTATGTTTCCTGCCTCATATGACAAGGGGAAGCATTTGGCTTCCTCTATCCTCAGCATCACCACACTCATGCCACGGATACCACAGAGCCTAAACACTTTCCATGAAAGTGGATTTTAGCAGGCAGCATTTCCTGGGACTCGGGCTTAACTCCAGGGAACTCGAGGTTCTTACTCTGCCTGTAGCTTCATGCTGATCCCTACCTGGCCCCTTTCTCCCATCCCCGGCTCCTCTCTGTGGGGGCATATGCTTTTTTCCCTCTTTCTCTCGGCTTTCTGCAGAAATCATTTCTCCCCATGAAGACACTGACATCCACCACTAAGGATCTCTATCATCCATCCCTGTGCTCAGGAATCTCTCTGCTCTTGTTCCGTTTCTTTGGTTCCTGTGTTGACTATACCAACCCCTTTTCTGGTGCTAGTCTTACATTCTTTCATTATTTACCTTTTTTATTTCCTTGTGGTTGTTCTTGCACAACATAAGCATTCAAAACACTGCCTTATGAATCAGTCATTTAAAATACATGCCCAAATTTCTCTGTTTACATTAAATAAAAGGTTGCATAACTGTATTATCAGAAAAGGTTAATTTTACTCACATCCACTATATTATCTTTGTACATAATGAATAAAGCACAAATCGCCTGTGTTGGTCAAACTCCCCCCAGTATAACCCCGAATTTCTTTTCCTGATTGAATTCCTCTTATTCCCCTGCCTGAACTCTCAGCTTCTGATAAAGATATACAACATGTGGTTCTGCCTGAAGGTACCCTTCACTGTCTAAACAACTTGTCCTTGAGATTTTTTCCAGGATAAGAAACTTGGACTTCATCTGTTAGGTGATATGTAGAAAATGATGGTTTTAAAGAGATAGACACAATCACATTTGTATTTTATAATATAATTGTGAGTTCAATAAGCAGCCATCTCTATACATAAGCCTAGATGAGCATTGTATTTGGTCCCTGGGTCCCCATTCCCAGTGTAAATAACTTCCATTTATTTTTAGCCTCTTCACAAGGAACATTTTCTCTCCTACTTTCACTGAAAAATAGATTTGAACCACCCAACTTCATGACTACATTCTAGACCCAATGATCATCCAACCTATGAAATTTATATTTTAACTTAAATTTACTTATTATAAAGTTATTAAAACATCATAATGACAGACAAAGTATAACATCAAAAAAACTTATCATCTAGATTGAACAAAAAGATTTGGTCAAATTTGCTCCACATTTTTTTGGAATATGGTTGATTCACAGTGGTGTGTTAGTTTCAGGTGTACTGCAAAGTGATCCAGCTTGCTTCAAATTTTTTAAAGAAATAAATATTAGATACATTCAAAACTCCATTTATTCCCATCTCACATCTCAATTTTCTCCTTATCATTCCAGCAATAACTGTAATTCTAGAGTTGATCATATACTCCCATTCAGAATGTATACTTATAATATATCAGATAGAAAATGATGGTTGTCAAAACTAAAGCACTGAGTCTCTATTTCTGCTTTGCAAATAAGTTCATCTGTACTATTTTTCTAGATTCCACATATAAGCGATATTACACTATATAAAGAACAAACTATGGATACCAATGGGGGAAGGAGAGATGGGGTAAACTGGGAGACTAGGATTTACATATACACACTACTATGTATAAAATAGACAATTAATGAGAACCTACTATACAGCACAGGGAAATCTACTCAATGCTCCTTGGCAACCTAAATGGGAAGGAATTCTAAAAAAAGAGGGGATATATGTATCGTATAACTGATTGACTTTGATGTACAGAAGAACCTAACACAATATTGTAAAGCAATTATACCCCAGTTAAAAATTAATTTAAAAAAACTAAAGCACAGAGACAATAAATAGAAACATTGGGTTATAGCCCAATTATTTGAAATTAAATCAACAAGATCGGATGTAGAGGTAATGGAAAACTGGATGAGCATGCCCAGGAGTACACCACATGTGGGGAGCGCATATAATAAACCTGGGTATAATTCAAGAAATATTGAGTGTAAACTTATAGGTACACAAAATGAACACTATTCCACAAGGGTCTCTCTGGAAGAGATAAAATTAAAGAAGGTTTTCCTTTTCAAAAAACCTTGCAAACTATTTAGGTTGTATATGCAGTGTATAGGGATTCTTAGACATGTTAAAATACAACAAATGTGGAAATAAAGGAAAGAGAGATCAAGTGTACAGATGTAGATCAGACAGTCTACTAAGCAGTAGCTGAGGCCACAATGGGGTTGAATGAGTTACCAAAAGAAATAACAAAAGGGAGGCAAAACAAAGTGTTGAGCTCATATATAATTAAAGGTTTGGAAAAGAGGTAAAACCTACCAAGAGGTAGTAGAAAACATATACATCAAAAACGGAACACCTGAGGAGGGATTTTACTAGGCTTGCTTTGCTGGGACCTATTCCCAGCTGTCTTTCTGATCTGCATATGTGTGCTCAGTTGTTCAGTCGCGTCTGACTGTTTGCGACCCCATGAACTGTAGCCCACCAGGCGCCTCTGTCCATGGAATTCTCCAGGCAAGAACATTGGAGTGGGTTGCCATTTCCTACTCCAGGAGATCTTCTCCACCCAGGGATTGAAACTGCGTCTCCTGCATCTCCTGCATCGGCAGGTGAATTCTAACACCAGTGCAGACACCTGATACCACCTGGGCTCTGGGATCAGCCAGTAGTACAGTTTCTAATTATTCAGGATACTCCATGTACAACACATTCTTTGTACTGAAGTTCTTTCTTCAATACTCTAAAATGCTGTCCTTTTCCTCTCATGTACAATAATCCTGTGACATTTAGGATTCTCCATGAAGCAATAAGGTCCCTAAGAGCAGAGACTATGTCATATATGTCGAGTAAATAAATAGACAACCATATTTTCGACAGGTTCATGGTTTTTCCACAAGGCCTTACAAAGTATCTAGCACACACAAATTGAAATTTAATTGTTAAATGATTAAATCAAAGGTTTTTAATCAGGCAGATGGGCATCACTGATCTTCTTAGCATGTGTCAAAGGCTCTCTGACAATTAGATTAATGAAAAGGGATCATTTCCCCCAAATATTAATTATCTCTGAATTTAGCATACGCAAGTATAAACACAGGCAATTCAGTGTGGTGAATAAAGATATATTAGACACAGTACTTCACTAAAAATTCTGGTTTCTTCTCTTCCCTTGCTAACAAAGGACCTATGAGAGAAGAAAACTATTCCTCTGTTCCGGATTTATTCCTCCTAGGAGTTAGTAGTCATCAGGAACAGGAAGACTTCTTCTTCGTCCTTTTCTTGTTCATTTACCCCATCACACTGATTGGAAACCTGCTCATCATCTTGGCCATTCACTTCGATATTCGCCTCCACAACCCCATGTATTTTCTCCTTGCCAACCTCTCCTTTGTTGACATCTTCTTCTCCTCTGTAACCATCCCTAAGATGCTGGCCAACCACCTCCTGGGCAACAAAGCCATCTCCTTTGGAGGATGCCTAACACAGATGTATTTCATGATTGCCTCGGCTAACACAGATAGTTACATCCTAGCTGCTATGGCCTATGATCGAGCTGTGGCCATCACCCGTCCACTTCATTACACAAAAATTATGAGCCCACGGACTTGTGTCCTGCTAGTCATTGGGTCTTGGGTGGTTGGAAATGGCAATGCCCTCCCCCACACTCTGCTCACAGCTAGCCTGTCCTTCTGTGGAAACCAGGAAGTGGCCAACTTCTACTGTGACATTACCCCTTTGCTCAAGTTGTCCTGTTCTGACATCCACTTTAACGTGAAGATGATGTACCTGGGAGTTGGTGTCTTCTCTGTGCCATTACTATGTATTGTCATCTCTTATGTTTGGGTCTTTTCCACAGTTTTACGGGTTCCCTCTGCTAAAGGTGTGCTCAAAGCCTTCTCCACATGTGGTTCCCACCTCACAGTTGTTTCTCTGTATTATGGGACAGTCATGGGCATGTATTTCCGCCCTCTGACTAGTTATAGCCTAAAGGACGCTGTGATAACCGTGATGTATATCGCAGTGACCCCAATGTTAAATCCTTTCATCTATACTCTGAGAAATAGGGTCATGAAAGCTGCCCTGGGGAAACTCTTCAGCAAGGGAACGCCCTCACATCCAACATGAGCTCATACACTGAAGACTGCAGTCACCAGTTAGGGTATACCTGGAGACCCATCCCCAACGTTTTCCCCTCCAAAAAGCTGCCTACATCTTTCCTTCTGGAAATTCCTCCTCTCAGAAATCTTGTAACAGTTATGAACCACGTTACTCAAATCACCACTTTGTACATTTCATTTTGCTTTGGCAGGAATATTGGGTTCCTGTCCCAATTAAACAACTGTGAGAGGAAAAGTGAGAAAGACTGAGGTCCAGCCTCTACATCACATGTAAAGAATAATAATACCTGCCCAGTCACTGTCATAAGCTGCAAGGATCACTATGGTTCCGACTATGAAGGCTATAAATCACCATTCACATGTCATTAGATTTTTAAAATAATTATGCTAATTATTAGATTACTACATTTAATCACCTCTACTGTTTGCAAGCCTCTTAAGGCAGGAGCTGTCTTAACGTATCACCATACCTTTCACAGTCTTGGTCATATAAAGTGCATCCAATGAATACTGGTGGAAAGCAAAATATATGAAGCTATTAGTCTCTAAACTGTAATATAATCATGATTATATGTAATCATAGTGGATATTGCATCCATTATGTACCTCGAGTGTCAAAAAGGACTAACTCTGGGGACAGAAATCATAACAGGTATGTATAATTAGAAGATTTACCTGCCACAAAATGGTTGATATCACTTCGATGTGGAATCTCAAAAAATCGTATAAATGAACTTATTTACAAAACAGAACTAGAGTCACGGATGTAGAGAACAAACATGGTTAACAGAGGATAAGGAAGGAGGGACAAACTGGGAGATTGGGGCTGGCATATACATATTACTACATATAAAATAGAAAACCAGGGGATCCCCTGTGGTTCATTGGTAAAGAGTCCACCTGCCAATGCAGGAGATACGGGTTTAATCCCTGACCCAGGAAGATCTCACATGCTGCGGAGCAGCTAAACCAGTATGCCATAACTATTGAGCCTGTGCTCTAGGGCCCGGAAGCCACAACTGCTGAGCCCACAGACCACAACTACCGAGGGCTGAGTGCTCTAGAGCTCTGCAGCAAGAGAAGCCACTGCAGTGAGAAGCCCACACACCGAAAGTGGAGCGTTGCATGCGCTGCAACCAGCACAGAGCCCTCACAGAAACAAAAGGCCCAGCACAATCAAGGAAATAATTTTTTTAAAAAACAGCTAACTATGAAGAACCTATTGTACAGCACAGTGAACTCTAGTCAGTACTCTATAATGGCCTATATGTTAAAAGAATCTTAAAAAAAAAAGAGTATGTATTTTGCTGAAACTAATACAATATTGTAAATCAACTATACTCCAATAAAAAGTTAAATTAAAAATGAATAGCAAGTTTACCAATACAGTATACTAATGCATATATATGGAATTTAGAAAGATGGTAATGATAACCCTATATGAAAGTCCAGGTTGGATGCATGAGACAAGTGCTCAGGGCTGGTGCACTGGGATGACCCAGGGGATGGGATCGGGAGGGAGGTGGGAGAGGGGTTCAGGATGGGGAACACATGTAAATCCGTGGCTGATTCATGTCAATGTATGGCAAAAACCACTACAATATTGTAAAGTAATTAGCCTTCAACTAATAAAAATTTTTTAAAAGTGGTTTAGAAATTAACATGCTTCATAAAAAAATAAAATAAAAAAGATTTAATACAGGGAATTAGATTGTTGCTGTTCAGTTGCTAAGTCGTGTCTGACTCTTTGCAACCCCATAAACTGCAGCACATCAGTCCTCCCTGTCCCTCATTATCTCCTGGAGTTTGCCCAAGTTCATTTCCATTTACTTTTCACTCTCATGCATTGGAGAAGGAAATGGCAACCCACTCCAGTATTCTTGCCTAGAGAATCCCAGGGACTGGGGAGCCTGGTGGGTTGCCGTCTATGGGGTCACACAGAGTCGGACACGACTCAAGTGACTTAGCAGCAGCAGCAGCAGCAGCATTTCCATTTAGTCAGAGATCCTATCCAACCATCTCATCTTCTGCTGCCCTCTTCTCCTTTTGCCCTCAATCTTTCCCAGCATTAAAGTCTTTCCCCATGAGTCGGCTATTTGCATCAGGTGACCAAGATATTGGAGCTTCTGCTTCAGCATTAGTCCTTCCAATGAGTATTCAGGGTTGATTTCCTTTAGGATTGACTGCTTTGATCTCTTTGCAGTCCAAGGGACTCTCAATAGTCTTCTCCAATGCCACAGTCCGAAAGCATCAATTCTTTGACACTCAGCCATCTTTATGGTCCAACTATCACATCCATACACGACTACTGCAAGTGGATATATAGTATTAATATATTAGTATATCCTAAAAGAGACTAAAGATGAAAAAAGAAAATGCCGAGCTAACCCAGAGTAAAAACTGCAAGAAGTTACAATATCTCAAGGGAGCAAAAGGCAAAAGGTGGTGTAACCAGAACATTGGAGCTCAGAAGAAGGAAGACCACATATCTAATGTTCATATCTCCAAGGAAAGCTGTCAAATAATCCACCTGGAGAGATCGAGACAATTTCAGGGTTGTCCTGAATACTGCTCATTTATTTTCTGAAATGTTGTCAATTCTGCCTAAAATGCCAAGTACAATCATGTAGTGTTCCTTATTCACTTCTGTTTGCTGTTTCTATGTCAATTTCATTTTCATCTAAATTTATTTGTCTCATACTCTCTTATTTTAAAGGTCTTAAAAATATTTTAAAATTTAAAAAATCTTTTCTTTGTTCCCTTCTTTAAAGAACTTTCTAATACAATTTTTCATCCAAGTACTTAAGGTGTTTTTCCTCTTCTGTTATTCTGAAAATATATTGCATAGATCATTCTTTAGTATCTTTAGAAGAGATTTAACAAAGCTTGGGATTTTATAACAGACAGTACATTTTAGCCTCTGCAACAATCCACAGGATTTTCTCTCTAGTACATGGGAGGTAAGAGATTCCGTTTATAAGCGAAGGAAAGTTGCAGCCACTTTACATAGAAACAGTTGAATGTTTGAGGTTAAAGCATGGTTGTCTTCATAGTTCTCTCTGATGCCATTACACAATTCCTTGCCCATAGTGAGCCCTCAGAAAATAAAAAGTGGAATTAGTAAGATATTTTGAAAAGGACATAAAAAGAAAAAGTGATTACTAGGATGAAAATATTTACCCTGAGATGTTATATTATCCACGTCTGTGAAGCCCAAGTCCTAGACAGCGGACTGTGATCTGAGTGACAGTAATAACACAGCAAATACAATGGTGTAACTTGAAACAATTCCAAGGGAAAATGTAATTCAGCAAATGTTTCAAGATCGGTAGAATCTGAAGATTTTGGAGAGTCATCCAACAGTTACATGGCTAGTAGAAAAAGAGGTAGTTGATAGTATTACAGGAGGAAAAAAGTAGCACAGAGATAATAAAATAACAGCTAAAATTTGCTAAGTGCTAACTATATAACAGGCTCTGGTTTAAGGACTTTTCAGATATCAGTTCATGTGATCCTCATAACAAATTTCTGAGAATGTTGCTGCTGCTGCTGCTTTGTTATTCCAATCATACAGATGAGTACATGCGTGCTAAGTCGTTTCAGTTGCATCCGACTCTTTGCAACCCCATGGACTGTAGCCCTCCAGGTTCCTCTGTTCATGGGATTCTCTAGGCAAGAATACTGGAGTGGGGTGCCATGCCCTTCTCTAGATCTTCCCAACCCAGGGATCGAACCCATGTCTCTTATATCTCCTGTATTGTCAGGCAGATTCTTTACCACAGTGCCACTTGGGAAGCCCCACAGAAATGAGTAAGTACACTTAATAACTATGCAAAGTTAGTTATAGCCCGGAAGAGGCAGAGCCTGGACTGAAACCCAGTCAGAGCTCACAGTCTTCACCATGGTCCTCTATAGAGCACTCCCTACTACAGAAGAGGCTAAATCATAGCACAATGACCACTAATCAGGGCTGTTAAAAAGGTGAGATATACATAAGGTGGACTAGATAACATCTGAAACCTTTTCTTCTCTAAGAATCTAAAACATTCAGAGACTTACTATCAAAGCACAAGAAAAAAAAAGTTTAATTTCCCTCATAGCCACCCCTAAGACAAATCACACATAAAAGGTGACATATAATTACCCTTCTTTGCACATTTAACACCAGAAAGGCTTCAGTATAGCCTAGGATAAAGCCCAGGAGTTCAATTTTACCACACTTCTTATATCCCAAGGGATGGTTCCAGCTTGTGCTAAAGCAGAGGACAAGGGTCCATATTTCAACAGAGGTCAGAATAGGTGAGCCCAAGGCCTGGACCCTGGAGACACACTCTCTGGGAAACTGTTGCCCATCATTCCTTCTAGAAAAGAACTCTGACAAAATGACTCATGAGAACGACTGTATCCCCTCAAGGCACAGCATGTAATGAGTCTCAACAATTACTCTGACTTTGGCCCGAATTAAGACATAGGAGAGTCATGTTTCAAGAGACTTTATAACCTAGTGAACCACTCACAGTTTTCTCTATCATATGACCCATCCTGCATCTTTGAGGAGGAAACTAGAGTCCTCATCTTTAGCCCTCATCCAGGTCAACTCCTTCTGGCTCTTCTGCTCCACAGTGGGAAAACTCAGGGCTCCTCTTTCCAAATCATTCCAGTCCTGTGTCTTCTGCCTCAAAAACATAGGACCAGAGACCATCCTCTAGGACGACTACTAACACATTCTCCAGCATGCCTGCCTCCAGAAAGGAAAGCTAACAGGTACTGACTGGACCAGCTGCCTGTAAACTCTCCATTCATGGAAGAGGAGTGAAGGCCACAGGACTAAGTCCCTTTTGGAGGCATCTGAGCTGACTCCCCAGGTAGAAGCTGTGGATGTTGGAGAAGAAACTTTGTACAACAGGAATGCTGCTGCTGCTGCTAAGTCGCTTCAGTCGTGTCTGACTCTGTGCGACCCCATAGACGGCAGCCCACCAGGCTCTGCCATCCCTGGGATACCAGGGGACTAAATAGCCAGTAACTGCACTACATGCATAATCTCCTTTGACCCTCACAACACCAGGAGAGGTAAGCAGAATTATGGTCATTTTACTAGATGAAAAACATGGGTGAACTGAATTGTCTTCACAGATGTAGAGACAAAACAAGGACATAAACCTTGGCCTGAATTCGGAACCCAAGGGCTCCTGATTGAATAAACACAAAAAGAGAAGGGAGGAGAGAGGAAAGAGGGGGCACAGAGAGGAGAGAGGGAGAGAGACACTCCCCTGCTGACAATGGTTATGCTTGGGCCCTTATCCATGAAAACCGGGTGAGGAAGGGGTAGTTTTGAATTGGCTATGCCATTCCTCAGCTACTTCCTGAAATAATACTCTGTGTGTGTACAAATGCATGCATGCAGATGAACTCACAAAAGCCTGCTGCCTCAGAGAGAAGCTACAAAACTTGCACTCCCACATCCAACAGTGCATGTTAACAGACCCCTTAAGAAAAATTAGTTATTTCTCTGACAAAGCAACAATAGGTCAAAGCACTGAAGAGGGCATTTCTTTCACCTGAACTACTACCCCTGATGCCACAGGGAAGAATTTGGCTTCTTCTGAAAAACAGTCTTCAGCAGCTTCACACTCATGAGACAAGTATCTTAGAACATAAACACTTTCCAGGAAAATGGATTTCAGCAGCCCAGCATTTCCTGGAACTCTGACCCAAGGTCTCTGTTCATAGCGTTCATGCTGATGCACCTCCTGGCTCCTCTCCTGGGGACATATGGTTCTTCTACTTCTCCCTTCAAGATTTCAGCAGAAATCATCTCTCTCTGTGATCTGCGATGGCTAGCATCTAAGTCAGTCTTCTATATTGAATACATGGATGAAATTCTTATACATTTTGCAACTTTTCCACATGCATAACAAAGTAGCACATGCAATGTAAAAATTAGTATTTATTAACTGATTAAATCCTAGATGTTGGGTGACGGTTCTGGGGTGGAGGAGGATGGGCACCTCTAATTCACAGACTGTTCGGGTTTTATTCATGAGTGTCCAGGGGTAATTCTTGATTAGTCCTACTAATCAATAAAGATATTTCCCCCAAAATATTGGTTATCTCCAGATTTAGTTAACTAAGTTGTAGAGATGGTTGGTCATGTGAGTCAAAAACGGTGGATAAGAAAAAGATCATTACACACAGTCACCACACTAACAATTCTGGATTCCTCTCCCCTTTCCTGCTGAAGGATCCATGAGAGAAGACAACCAGTCCTCTACCTTCAACTTCATCCTCCTGGGAGTTACTGGCCAGCAAAAACAGGAAGACTTCTTCTTCTTACTTTTTCTGTTCATTTACCCCATCACATTGATTGGAAACCTGCTCATCATCTTGGCCATTCGCTTTGATGCTCGCCTCCACAACCCCATGTATTTTCTCCTTGCCAACCTCTCCTTTGTTGACATCTTCTTCTCCTCTGTAACCATCCCTAAGATGCTGGCCAACCACCTCCTGGGCAACAAAGCCATCTCCTTTGGAGGATGCCTAACACAGATGTACTTTATGATTGCCTTGGGTAACACAGATAGTTACATCCTGGCTGCTATGGCCTATGATCGAGCTGTGGCCATCACCCGTCCACTTCATTACACAAAAATTATGAGCCCACGGACCTGTGTCCTGCTAGTCATTGGGTCTTGGGTGGTTGGAAATGGCAATGCCCTCCCCCACACTCTGCTCACAGCTAGCCTGTCCTTCTGTGGAAACCAGGAAGTGGCCAACTTCTACTGTGACATTACCCCTTTGCTCAAGCTGTCCTGTTCTGACATCCACTTTAATGTGAAGATGATGTACCTGGGAGTTGGTGTCTTCTCTGTGCCATTACTGTGCATTGTCATCTCCTATGTTCGGGTCTTTTCCACAGTCTTACGTGTTCCCTCTACTAAAGGTGTGCTCAAAGCCTTCTCCACCTGTGGTTCCCACCTCACAGTTGTTTCTCTGTATTATGGGACAGTCATGGGCATGTATTTCCGCCCTCTGACTAGTTATAGCCTAAAGGATGCTGTGATAACTGTGATGTACATGGCGGTGACCCCAATGTTAAATCCTTTCATCTACAGTCTGAGGAATCGGGACATGAAGGCTGCCCTGGGGAAACTCTTCAGCAGGAGAATCTTCTCACAATCAATGTGAGGTCATCCTACATTCGAGACTGCCCTTAGAATTTAGGGTGCACTTGGAAATCCATCATTCCTCTTGAGGAAGCTTTCTTTGCTCTTTCCAGCTAGAAAGTCCTCTTCTCAGAAATCAATTTATGATAGATCATTCTGTACTCATCATTGTCCATTTAGCAGAGTGGAAGCCCAGGAATATTAGGTTCTTATCCCAGCAAAGATACTGATTATCAGAGTAAATTTGAGAAGGTTTGAAGCTCAGCTTCTACATCTACATATTAGCAATAATAACATCTGTCCCACCACTGTCACAGGTGTGAGGATCACAGAAGTCCATGGTTTGAAGGATATAAATCACTATTTGAATGTCAATTTTAATTGGACTATGATGTTAATCAGCCCTACTATGCTTGCAAATCTCTGAGGCAGGAGCTGTTACATCACTGTACCTTTTACAACCTCAGTTATATAAAGTGTATCCAATAATTCTTGATAAAAAGTAGGATGAACAAATGAAAATATCAGCCTCAGAATTGTAATCTAACAATGACAGACATGGGGATTCCCAGATGGCACTTGTCGTAAAGAAACTGCCTGCCAATGCAGGAGACATAAGAGATGCCAGTTCAATCCTTGGGTCAGGAAGACTCCCTGGAGGAGGGAATGGCAATACACTCCAGTATTGTTGCCTGGAGGATCCCACGGACAGGGAAGTCCGGTGGACTACAGTCTATAGGGTAGGGTCACAAGGAGTCAGACATGACTGAAGAGCCTCAGCACGTATGCACGCAATGATAGACATAATCAGACTAGATACTCTCTGTCGTTGTTGTTTAGTTGCTCAGTCATGTCTGAACCTTTTGTGGCCCAGGGACTGTAGCCCACCAGACTCCTTTGTCCGTGGGATTTTCCAGGCAAGAATACTGGAGAGGGTTGCCATTTCCCTCTCCAGGGGATCTTCCCAACCCAGGGAATGAACCCACATCTCCTGCACTGGCAGGCAAATTCTTTACCACTGAGCCACCAGAGACACTATTTACCCAACCCTTGAAATCTTTAAAGGAAATTACTTGAGTGGATACTTTTGTTCTTTCCGTATTGTTAATTAAACTANTTTGTTCTTTCTGTATTGTTAATTAAACTAGACTGTTTCAAAAGAGTATAAGATTCTCTCTAAAATCTTACTAAAATGACACTCATCAATAGAGTCATTGCACCTAAAAGTAATAAATATTCTGGTTTAATTAATATAATAAAATGCTGATTTAATTATAGCATGAAACAAAGTTACAGTGGCAAGAAAATTGAGTGCCAAATAATAAACAAAAAAAAAAAGAGAGAGAGAGAGCAGTAATGAAAACGATGCAACCATGTTTTTCCAGCATGGCTTGGGAAGGATGAGGCTTACATTCTGGATGACCAGCTCTCATCACGTAAGTAATATTCCTCAAAAAAAGATAGTTAATCCAGAAGGTAATTAAGTACCACTAAGGAACTCTACTCTCTATGATTTGATTCTGTTCATGATATAATTATAAAACTTTTTAAAAATATTAATAACATACAAATGATTGTCCTCAAATATAGTATGTCCACACAGAATAATGTTTTGAATGGTTAGATTGAGTGTATCTTGGAACAATGTGCAAGTGGTTTTGTATCTACTGTATTAACTGGCAATAAAAATATAAAATCATTATCTTCTGTAGATCATTCAGATCCCCAAGAATCTGACCATGGGCATTGGATAATGATGTTATTCACCTTTCAATGCTTTCTGGGTCTGTAAAACACCAAGGATGAGATTTACCCCAATTATCTTCTTTTTAATCAAAAAAGATTTGATTACAAATGCATATGAATCTGTGTGAATGAATGACCAAATCATGGAGGGAATGAAAGTATTTAATGTAGAGAATTTTCAAGATTGGTCAGTAAAAATATTACATAATCTTTTTACCTGTTATTCCCACACTAATGTGAAGATTTGTATCTTCAACACTTAGGGCAGACATACAGTAACTACTTAATAAATTTATATTAAATAAATAATTACTGCAATATTATGTTTAAATAAAGAATGCAACAATTTTGATGACTACATAATTTTGCTGTTACAGGTAAATGGATATAGACTCTTAGGAGAATCCCATACCACTTAATTGCCCCATCCTTCCCATGTTATTCTTCTGTTTGAATTTAGATAAGGCAAGTTGATCTCCTCTATTAAATTCCCTACAACAATCATAAGAATCTATATGTATCTTTGTAACTTTAGATGCAAATAAAAATCATTGCATCAACATGTCTAGTCACTGTCCTACCCATCTCCCTTTGATTCTGTCAAACGTGCTTACCTGGGGTAATGTTAATATTGCAATTTAAATTACTTCAAGTTCCAATGTCTTGAGATTGTCCGGAAAAGACTGCATAGTAGATATGGCAATTCAGGAAAATTAGGGTCCATTCAGAAAACAAAAGTCACATTAGATATTTTTGAACCAAGAAGATTTAAAACAAGGCATTAAATACACAGGTATATCTTGAAAGAGATTAAAGAGAAAAAAGATGGATGCCAAGGTAAGCCAGAAATTATTTTTTTTTATCTCATATGTTTTATTTTCAAAAGGCTTTCACAAAATGCAAGGAATCATAATCTTTATCATTGATTAAAAAATCCAGTTAAGTATAACAGCAGGTTTCCAACTGCTTCAAAATATGTTCCACGAAATATTCACAAGGTAACATTGTAAATCCATGAATTTAAAACAGCCCACACAAGCCACTGACGGTTAAGACTGACATACATACACAGTCCCACTCTGGTTATAAAAACCTACTATACTGGAATACAGCATCAATAGAGCAAAAATTTTACTTTAAAAGAAACCATTCGCACTTAATACAGTATATTCTAAAAACAATGCTACAATTTCAGGACACAGGCATATTGGCTAATCTAAGCTGTTAAAAATTAGTGCTTACTTGCCCAATATCCACAGACATTTCAATTTAAAGCTATAGTTCTAAAAGCGGTTAGTACTGTCAACTGGCTTTGTTCCAAGATATCATTTTTTACTGGTCTACCAGTAAGGAATCATACTTAGCAGATATAAGAGGAGGCAAAGTAGAAAATCAAAGTGAAACAGGGTACAAATTTTATAATAATAAAGACAAAATAACATGAACATTGGACAATTCAACTATAATCATGAAATGAATGAATTCTGTAATAAGATACACAAACTGCACATTATTTTTAGTAGCAGAATACTCAAGAATAGGCAAGAATTAATACTGACAAGTAAACACAACCATTGAGTTGAATATTCCCCAAGAGAAAGATTAGTTTACATTAACCATACTTTTTGATAACATGCCACAACTACCAAAAAGGTAGCTCAGCAGACGTGACATAAAATGGGTTGACGTTTATGGGTTGAGATGGGCTCAGTTTTTAGAAGAGTTATGTGAATGCATCAGATATATCTTTTGGTCTTCTGGGTTATCT